AAGAAGCTTTTTACAAACAATATTATTGGAAAACTGTCACACTTACTTATTAAGATATTTTATACACTACTTTTCTCCCCTAGGTATCTTATGGCCTCCCCTCCCACCGCTCTATTTTAGGTAGGCCAGAAGTTGACCTGGTTAGATAAGGCAGCTCCTTGTTTTCCTAAATCTGTCCTCCTGATATCTGGTAAGAATGTTACTGTAATCCTGCATGGACATCTGATCTAGTTGACCTGGAATGCCTGATGGTAAGAAACCTTGCAACGGGCTTCATACCTCTGCCTAGGTGATCTCTTCTTGTTCTTTCATCCCTATCGTGCCCGAAGCACTGCTACAGTGAGATCTGAGGCCTCACTGAATGTGTGTGGCCCCAAAAGTTCTGTAATTGTGTGGTGGCAATGCCTCCATAGGCGAGTGATTTGGTCTGGAGTGAGAGAGGTGGCTGGGGGAAAACAGTGCCGTTGATAAATAGTATGTGTGTCCTTAATGATTTCTTCTGCATTAATTCATGCCTTTGTTTGGGAGACTGACTTTTTTCTAGTAAGGGTTTCAGGGGTGCATAGGGCAAACCGCAGGGTGCAGTGTGTGTCTTGGCCTCAATCTTTACTGAGCCTCAGCCTCGATCTGAGCTTGTCTCTTAAGGTGGGGGCTGACACAATTGAATGGCCTTCAACTCCCCCCCCCCTCCAAGCCCTGCACATAGAACATTAGCATGGAGCCTCTAGCATAACTTTCCAGTGCTCTAGCCTTCTATGAGCAGGGATATTTTAATGTTTTTACATGTTCAGCCATGTTGGCTTGCATTTGTGGGCTGAAATGGAGCACCCCCGATGTAAACAGACCAGTCTGAGAAAGAGGCTTCAGCTGACTTATGTGATAAGTGGGATGCTCCAAATGAGTGGAGTACTGCCAGGCCAAATCACAATTTTTGAGTGAGTTCTTGTGACTGCCTTCTGCTGGTACAACATCCTTTCCCCTCTTCATGTTGTACTACAGACTTCAGTTTTGCTTCCAATCCGCTGTGTACCTTTTGTGCAAAAAAAAGAGAAAGTCATTCAAGAGGCTCGGCACAGACAGTTGCCTGCCTCTGGAGCCTGTGAATATCTTTTTGAAAGAGGGGCTCCTCTGGCTTGGCTTCCTGAAAACCTGGAGCCGGTCTTAACAATGGGTACTGCCTTTTCTCCTTCTCTTTCTGGAACAGCCCCCACCCACCCCGCCTAGCACTTCTTGACCATGCTTTGCAAGCTACCATGATTCAGCCTCTGCTTGGCAAGATAACTTTGTTTTTAGCCCACTCTTTGTCCAGAGAGCACATTTTGCCCCACCTTTATCCTCACAATAACCCTGTGGTGACTAGCCCAAAGCCATCTGCAAGCTTTGTGGGTGAGAGTGGATTTAAGCCCAAGTTTCCCTGGCTGACCACATGACGGAGTGAGCTCCCGTCCCTAGTTCCAGCTCCTGCCAACCTAGCAGTTTGAGAGCAAGAAATTGCAAGTAGATAAATAGGTACCACTTCGGTGGGAAGGTAACAGCATTCCTTGTGCCTTGGTGTTTAGTCATGCCGGCCACATGACCACGGAAACGTCTTCGGACAGCGCTGGCTCTTCGGCTTTGAAACGGAGATGAGCACCGCAACCCTAGAGTCGGATTCGACTGGCTTTCGAGCAAGGGAACCTTTGCCTTTACCTTCCCTGGCTGAACCAGCACTCTAACTAGGAACTGTAGCACATGGTGGGAAATGAGCAGGAGGCAGGACATTTGCAAGTGGTTTGGTCCCCACAGTTTCTTTTGTGTACATGTGATGCTTCCAGGACATTGCCGGCTTTCTTTAAACTGCTTGGAGGTCCTCTCTACAGCCTCCTCCCAATTCCATATTGTTCTTATCTGCAGGAAACATTAATCTGCCTGAAATCATTAGCAAAGCGTTTTAAAATCCCTCCTGGGAGGAACTCCGGGAGAGGAAGGACCTATAGCAAGACATTTTTATCATTTATCATTTTATGTTTCTGTCTGCATTGGAATCTTGAGGAGCCTTGGTGCGGAATGGAGAGGGGAGCTTCTCTCTGAATGGGTTCCCTAAAAGCTGCATCTTGTCAGAGCCAATCTAGGTTTGGAGCTCTGCTGAACGAGCCAGGAAGCAGCAGTTATTGCAACTGGTGTGATCTACTGGGGTTTTCTGTTGATGCGTGTACAGGAATATCCTTGAACAAGTTTTGTTCACTTCAGGCAGGAAAACTTCCTGGTGGATTAGGACGATCAGACCCAACTTCAGGGGCTCATACCCGTGGGAGGGGCCGTGGCTCAGTGGGAGAGAGCATCTGCTTTGCATGCAGAAGTTCCCATGTTCAATCCCCAGCAGCTCCAGGCAAAAGGATCAAGTAGTAAGTGATGGGAAAGACCTCTGGCTGAGACCTTGGAGGAGTGCTGCCAGTTTGAGTAGACAATGCTGATCTTGATGGACCAAAGGTCTGATTCAGTATAAGGCAGCTTCATGTGTTCATCTGATTGGCTGCCAGTGGCCCACTGCTGCCCCGGGGGGGGGGGTATGCAGCTGCTGCAGCCCCTGGGTTACAAGAGGGATTCTGGGCTTCCCTCAATCAGAGTGATGGATGGGTGGAGTGATAGCTGTTTGGATCTCTCTGTCTGCTTCTGGGAAAAAGGGAAGGAGGCACAGGCATCCCATCTCCCAGACTAAGTGGCAGTACGGGCTGCTGCAGGTTGAGGTTGCAGGATCCCCAAATGGTAAAGATCCCCCTGGCGGTAGTGGGAGATCCTGGGGGCATTTTGCTGATAGGGAGAGGGTTGGCAACATCTGGAAGCTGCCCTGGACCCCACTGCAATTTTGCGATTGACTCACATATAGTTGATGGAAGAATTATTCCCATTGTGGTGTTCAGCATTCAGTCCAGACTGTGCTTAATTTTAGTGCGTGCCAGTTGCTGAAGCTGTGGTGAGTGCTCTCTTGTGACCAAGAAGGTGTTGGTGTACTCTGAGAAATACTTTAATTAAATGAAGAGAAGCTCCTCTGAGAGCCCAAACCCACAGAGCATGCCGACTGTTCCATCTCTCTGTGATTTACTGCTAAAGTGCTGTCTCCTTCTAATCTACCTGTGCCGGCCGTGGATCAGGCCACCTCCTATACCCTATTAGGCATGATTTATTTACTCCTGTTGCAGCAGAATTAGCTGCTTTCAAAGAAGATTTCCCCCATTATGTCTCTGCATGAGTCACTGATCTGGACTTGCCTTCTTGGTAGTATACTTGCATTAGCAATGGGTAGTTCTGCCATGTCTTTGTACTGGCTGCAATTCAATCACATTCATTCCTGAGGAAGACATGCAGGAGAACAGCCACTCTGAGAAGAGGCTGCTTCTTGCATTCTGTGTGAGTTCTTGCTCTTAGCTTGCATCCTCCTAATTGGAAGATGCGTTTTGATCAGCAGCTTACACAGAGATGCAGGCCAAAGGGTGCCTCCCATTTGGACAGTGGAAGTGGTCAGAAATTTGGGGAAATGGTGATCCAAAGTCTGAATTCCAGTTTCTGGCTCTTCAAAGCTTCCATTAACATAACCTGCCCTGCTTGACTTCATAGAGGAGTCCCAAATGTAAAAACAAGGAAATGTCATGGAGCCTAAAGAGAACTTTTCTTTTCTTTTTTCAAAATGATCATCTGAGATTCCTAGGGCACTGCACCCAAAGTCATAAGGCTTTTCATGCCTATGTCAACAGTCATGAGCTGCAGAAAGATTTGTCCAGCATGCCCATGAGGATTTGGCATCTTCTGACGCTGAAATAAATATTTGACTGCAAAGGCGCTGATGGCCTCCTTCCACAGTGCGGGTGGCTTCCTTGTTTTTGTGTGTTCTCTCAAAAGGGAAGTGACCCCAATGGTGTGTGTCTAAGAGCACCTGGTAAACAAACGCCCAGCATCCAGGGATTAGTGATGTTAACTTTTGGGCTGAACAGGTGAATTGCCTTGTACCAAATCAATCAATTGGTCCCCCTGGCTTAGTGTTTCCAACTCCAACTCTCCGGGATCTTCAGCAGAGAGAGGCCTTTCCTAACACCACCTTCCTGAGATATGTCTAATTGGAGATGCTTGGAATTGAACTTGGGTCCTTCTGCATGTAAACCATGCATCCTGCCACCAAGACACCACCCTGTCTCATAAACAAAGTGCCACCAGGCTAGCTACATTGGCTAAGTGGGCTGCTGTTGCCATTAAGTGCTTCATAGTACAGGAACTGACACCCTTCCGTACCAGAAGGCAGACTATTGCTCAGCAGTAGGTTCATTAGGCAAGAAAGACTGCTTCGTATAACCTTCCTTTCTGGAATCCTTCATTGCAGGATGTGGGTTTAGCCTCTCTAGTTTAGGAGGCTTTAAAAGGGGGATGAAACCAATTCATGGAAGAGTGGTTTGTCAACTGCTGTTAGCAATGATAGAGTAGACCTTTCTGTGTTTAGTAGAAGTGGGGACAGGCCATGGCTCAGTGGTAGAGCATCTGCTTTGCACACAGAAGGTCCCAGGTTCAATCCCCAGCATTTCCAGTTATAAGGGTCAGGTTGTACGTGATGTAAAAGACCTCAGCCTGAGACCCTGGAGAGCTTCTGTCAGTCTGAGTAGACAGTAGTGATTTTGATGGAACAGTGGTCTGATTCAGTAGAAGGCAGTTTTGTGCGTGTTTAAGTATACCCCCTAAAAGCCAGTTGCTGGTAAGAAGACTAGGAGAGGGCTATTGACTTTATGCTCTGCTTATGTGCTTTCTGGAGGCATCTAGATTAATTATAACAGGATGTTGGATCAGATAGACCCTTGAGCCGATCCATCAGGACTCCTTGATTGTGATGTGTTCAAACTAGATGGCAAAACTAGCAGTGGATGACGTAACTGTGGATTTTTGCCAATACTATTTGGTATTACTGCCAATAATTAGATCTTTTTCTTTTGAAGCAGTATCTCCATCTTAGCAGTCATCTCTCTTTTTTCTTCTTGCAGAGAAGACTGGCAAAGTTCTTGCAGATTTCGCTCGGTTCTATGAGGAGCAATATGGAGTTGCGCTCTTCAACAGTGTCCGCTATGAAATTGAAGGTGGCGGGGGACCCCAAGCACAGCTCCTGCACCGCAAGGTAAGGAGGGTGAGGGATTTGGAGGTTCTGAGTTGTTGCTGATGGTTTTCATGCTTCTCATGATGGTGGTTATAGAAGCTGTAGGATGGGTATGAATTCAACAGCCATGTGAACATTGTCTGCAGGGCTCTGCTCTTCTGTGCTTTTGTTCTACAGACATCTTCCACCCATCTTGCATTTTGGATGTGGGAAAAGCACAAACTGTGAAGCCTATGTGTAAGGGTACCATCAATCAACGAGCCACTTCTCAGTCACGAGGATGACTTTATTAAAAGATGTGTCACTAACAAGATTTCTGTTTAGAATGGCGTGCAATACATCAAGCAGGTAACATGAACAAAGTTCAAACAGACTCTATACCAATGAGATACTTTCCCGCCCGGGAAGAACAGCGCCAAAATAATGGGAATCGTAACGGCCTGGAGATTCCAAAACATCGTACTTCCCAGGCTCTGAGCGATAGCAGTAGACATAAGCGTCCTCCCTTATCTCCCACCTGCCCTTGAAGTGTTTATGCGTTTCGCTAACAAGCTTGCCGTTTATGAGCATGCGCAAGGGTCACTAGGCAACAACTATCAACATATGAGTTAATACAGAAAGCAATGCAGGTTAAGAGGTCCTAACATGTGAAGCATATATACAAAGGATCAACCATGACAGCTTGCTGACATTCTGCCCTCTCCAAACTCCTTTCCCACTTCTCCCGGAATCTCCCGGCCATTCCGGGAGGATCTCCCGGTCAGTCCGGGAGACCTCCCGGTTTGTCCGGGAACTGCCGATGAAACCGTCTGATCATGTAAGGGGCCCGAATATCCCCTTCTTCCACCCATTCCCGGTGCTGGGGCCCAAAGTCTTTCCACTCAACCAGATAATACAACTTTCCCCGTTTACATTTCGAATCCAGAATACATTTGATTTCATAATGTTCTTGACCATCCAACAATACAGGTAAAGGCGAGGTGTGTGTTTCCCGCCACTCCGAGGACCCCGTGTCCTTTTTCAGGAGGCTGAAATGAAATACAGAATGTAAAGCCCTCAAATTCTTTGGTAAAATCACATCAACCGCCACATCATTGATGACCCTCTTGACTTCAAACGGGCCGATGTACTTCCAACCTAATTTCCTGCTTGGTCTCAACATTTTGATATTTTTTGTAGAGACATACACCTTATCACCAGGCTTCAGAGCCCAACCCTCCACCCTACCTCTGTCCGCCTGTTTCTTGTAGGCTGCCTTGGCCTCGTTTAATGTCTTACAAAGAGACGGCCAGGCCTCCTGCAACGTTTTACACCAAGCATGTGCATCCCCCTCCCCCACAAGATCCCCCCCTTGCAACATTGGGAGAGGTGGACTGTCATAGCCATATACCGCTTTAAAGGGAGACATTCCAATGGAGACATGAAAAGCATTGTTATAACAATACTCAGCCAAAGGTAACAGCTCACACCAGTCAGATTGTTGATAATTGGTGAAGCATCGAAGATATTGTTCCAATGTTTGGTTCACTCGTTCTGTCTGTCCATCCGTTTCTGGGTGATAGGCACTACTGAGCCCCCTCTCCACCCCCAATAATTTCATGACCTCAGTCCAGAATATGGAAACGAATTGTGTCCCCCTGTCGGATACCACCTTCCTAGGCAACATATGCAATTTTATTACATGTGACAGGAAAGCCTTCGCCAAGGCTTTTGCAGTTGGCAGAGAAGAGAATGGAACAAAATGTGCCTGTTTTGAAAACATGTCCACAATCACCCAAATCACTGTTTTCCCACTGCTCAACGGCAGATCAGTAATAAAATCCATGGAAATCACCTCCCAAGGTCTGTTGGGAGTTGGCAATGGGCCTGATGGCTGCTGAGCTTCACCTGGTG